TGTACCTATTATATATATCAGCTATTGCCTATTATATATAGGTATATAATAGCAGTCAACATTTGTGTACCGAATTAATAATAATATAGTATGATTCAGTAGTTATTTTGAAAATAATCTTATAAATGTATTCTAAATAAAACGATATTATGTTATTTTACTAATAATAATATTCTCGTATTGAAGTAATAACAATAAAATATTATTGTGTTATTACTTTAAAAATAATATTACAAATGTATTCTAAATAAAACAATACTATATTATTATATAAGTAATAATATTATCGTAATGAAGTAATAATAATATAGTATGATTGATTTTTTGAATTATTAATAATGTCATGTAAATAAAATAATACTATATTATTTTAATGATATTATTTCAAACATAACGATTTAATAATAATTTAGTATTATTATCATTACATTTTTGCTATCTGGGATATTGTAATATTGCAACACTACACAACTTCCGTATTTTACATTATAAGACTTTAAGGGGCCTGCTCGCGATTTTTCAAATTTTCCGCAATTCTATAAAATTTGAAAATTAAATTTTATATTTTAGTTGCCACCTCAATTATAAGACTTTTCCACTAATCTACTATCCAATACCTATTTAGGGGGGTTGATAGGGTGTATTATATCGGTCAAAACACAGTTTACAGGAAAAACTCTCACACCTCGTAGATTGGTCCGATTTCCGTAATTTTTTTTTTGTTAGATAGAGGAATATTTTTTACAGGGCGCATTGGACTTCGATTTTTGATTACGTCGCTAAAAACAAAAAATAATACAAAAACTAAAAAGTTGTAAAAATTGATTAAATTCAAACTTGTAACATAAGATTTAGAAAAATAATGTTGAAAATCCAAGTCCAATGCGCCCTGTAAGAAGTCTTCCTCTATCTAACAAAAAAAAATTACGGAAATCGGACCAATCTACGAGGCGTGAGAGTTTTTCCTGTAAGGCATGTTTTTGAGCAAAAAAACAGGTCGCATGCAGGCCCCTTAAAAGTGATTGTTATAGGTAGTAATAACTTGAGGTTCAGTCACACCTTGTTTTTTCAATGGTTTGTGGTCTCCCTTGATTGCCAATATCGCATCTAGAAATATTTAAACATTAATGTAAAATAAAATCTACAAAATGAAGGTTTATGGAATACATCCTGCTAGTTACAATAAAATTAATACCTTAGAAATAACTTTTATTTTTTTCAAAAAATTGTAAGTCTCATAGAAATATGTTGTATTTTTATTGATGTATTTTTAAATGGTTTTCTCTAGCATTTGCTGTTTGGTACTTTACAAGAATTAAAAACGTAAACAATTTTATCTATAACATTAATTGTACATGTTGACTCTAAGTGTAATTTACTCAATGCTAAGTGAGTGCTCATTCCAGCAGCTTTCACTAAAAAATCTATGACTGCAAAATAAATTCACATTTTTTCCTTGATTTATGTGTGCATGTGTAAGCTTAGAAAAAAATTTTCTGTTTGCTCATTGACAAATGCTTTTACGTTTAGCGAAATTTTTAACAACTTTTTTATGGCAGATATTATGCCAGCTTCCAGATACAAATAAGCCATCTTTCAGAAGTGAACAACACAAATGAATCTTGAATAACATCTCATCAACACATAAGGTGCAGTAAAGAGCTTCAGTTTGAAAGTTAGACATTTTTTACTTGAAAAGTTGAAATAAAAAATATATAATCAGGGGTTATTTCATATTTAAGGCAAACTCTTGTTAAAGTTCTTACTTATGGACAAATGAAAGGTAGATTGTTAACGCTAATTATTTCATATAATTTGTGTACTTGTCCATAAGGGTTTCTCGTGTTGCATATTGTTTGAGATTGTACTACTGGGTGACAACAAATGTTTTTCACACACCGAGATAAAATTGAGTTTCTTTCTCATCCTTCAACTGTTGGCGTACAAAACGTTTCTGGTTATTTGTTCAGACCAAACCGACGAACCTAAATCATATTTATATAATTTTAGTAATCATAAAAATTCTATACACAGTGTGATCACGATAAGTGGAAACACTCAATAACCATGTGCAGGCTTCATGTATTTCAATTCTGCCTTTTTTGCAGACTAGTAAACAGTATTGTACACATTTTAAAATAATTACACCATAATGGTCACAAGAATGATTCTTGTAACAGTTAATTTTGCGAATGTGCACAATATTTTTTTTTTTAAATGGCACGACCCATCTTTGACCACAAACTAATTTTCTTTGTATTTTTTAATTAATTTTAGTGGTTGAATTTCTTTTCTAAGTTAAAAAATGACCGAGTTATAGTAATCTGATTTTATGTTAACTTCGTATTTTATAATCTGTTTTACCCATGTATAAATAATTTGTGGTCAAAGATAGGTCTGTGCCATTTAAAGTAAAAAAAATATTGTGCACATTCGCAAAATTAACTGTCACAAGAATCATTTTTGTGACCATTATGGTCTAATTATTTTAAAATGTGGATAATACTGTTTACTAGTCAGCCAAAAAAGCAGAATCGAAATACATGAAGCCTGCACATAGTTATTGAGTGTTTAAACTTATCGTGATCACACTGTACACAGTTTAATAAAATTGTTTGATTAAATGTAAATATCTAGATTTTTCACTATGGAAATTATGATGATGTTCCAGTAGAAAAAGTGTAGTCAATACCATCATGTATTCCTAGACAAAATTTAAAAATATTATATTAAATATTTATTATAAATGGATCTCTATAAAAAATATTAAAAATCATATTGACTTACCAGGTAAACAAGTTAATGGTAGAGCTAAAATGTTTAGTGTACTTAGATTCATTAATAAAAAACCCTTCTTTGTCAATTATCGTGATTTGTTAAACGTTGATAACAAATTATTAAATATAATTACGGTTATGGTCAGCTGGTACTGTTACCAATTTAAATATTGGACATTTGAGGTTATGTTTATAGATTTTATTCTAATCATGATTTAAGATAGTACAATCTTATAGCGTTTTCCATCAGCTGACTGCACCAATGTCCAGTCGACCCCATGAATTTTTGCGGTGTAGAAAATTATAGGATACTGTGATTATGGTATCAGTTTTCGCGTATATTGTGTCAGGGCACTATAATAGATACAGGTATGCTACGCCGCCATTTTTCGACTAATAATCTTATGTGAATATGAATTTCTCCCCCTTTATTTTATCATTGATAAATTAGTTGCAAAATGGTGGCATAGCATACCCATTGTATGTAGAGCCTTAGTGCAATCAGATGGAAAACGCTTTTACTACCTATCTAAAAAACAAATAAAAAATCAAATTTTAAAGTTTATTTTGATTCTGAATAAAACCTTACTAAAGCATTTCTACATATTACCTACACAAATTCTAATGACCTTTCGTTGTAGTATTTCTAGTGGTCTAACAGCGTACTCATTTATACCTTTCCCTAGCCAGAGATGTAAAATTTCATGTTTTCACTGACTTGTTGAAACTTTTCAAAAAAATTTAAACTTTTGATTTAATTTGTTTTGTATATGATTCAATAGCTTTTTTTACACATCTAAATAATATTATAAAATTATTTAAAAATGATTTATGTGATGCAACTAGTAGATGCTGGCTATCTTATTTGCATTTAAGTGGTAATCATTGAATACTAATAATAATTGTATCAAAGCAGTGTTTAATTATTTATTTTCCTTGTAATTTATAGATTTTCCAATAGAAACTAATATTAACTTTTATGACTGTACCAACCCAAGAAACAAAAAAATATTTTTTTAATGTTTTAAAAAACATTAAAAATAGATTTTAAATTGCTTTCAAAAAGATTTTTAAAATGTTATAATGGCCAACTTTTCATTTAAAATAGAATGTTAAAAAAACACATTTTAAACATTTTTTATACGTTTTTTTTCAATGTTATTTGCTTAAAAAATATGATAAAAATATTTTTTTCATATGAATTAGATATTTTTTAAATACTAATTTAATGTAGTATAATATTTTTATTTGGTTAGAAACGTATGTTTTAAACATTTTTTATACGTTAATTTTTCCATGGTTTTTTGCTAATGAAATATCATAAAAATATTTTTATTATATCAATTAAATATTTTTAAATACCATTTTAATGTGTGTATATTTTTATTTAGTCAGAAGCCCCATTTACATATATTTTTGATATAAAATACACAATGTCATAATAACTGAATGTTAAGGTAGATATGATAATATGTTAAAAAAATAATAATTGAATATTTAAATTAATGTTCCATGTAAATAGGTTATAAATTATAATATATAAATTACTTTATACACAATAATATCATCAAATATACTTAGTTATATCATATTTAGGCAGTAAACCGTCTTTGGTTAGAATCGTTTTTCTTATACAATGATATTATATCATTGGATTTAAATTGAACACAATCCATTATGTAACTTGTAATCTACTAGTACAGCGCAGAGCAACACCCACTTGCCCATATTTTATTACTTAAATGTATATATACAATTTTTACCTTTTTATAAATATAATGTATATTATAGTAATAATAAATAAAAATTTCTTAAAGATTCGTGTTTTTTTACTTAATTGTTAAATACACAATACATATTTTAAGAAATATAATAATAAAACACATTAAATAAAAGTGTGTTTTGGAATAGTATTATAATAGTATAATAGAAATATTATATAAATAAAAAAATTACTTCAGTTATTTTTTTGTTTACTTATAAATTGATATACAATATTATGTATTATAGAAATATTATAATAATTATACAAAAGAAAAATTTTTTATGACTTTTTTTACTTAAATTGATTAAGATACACAATATACATATTAAGAAACTTAATACTTATTATATAAACATATGTTTCATAAGAGTATCATATATTTGATACAACGTTTAAAAAGTTACTTGTATAGGTATGCCTGTTCTTTTTTTTTTACTTGAATTGAAATATAAAATAATTTAAGTTGAATTGATATTATTATCATCAATGTTGTCTTCATAATCTTGACGATGATGATAATCTGCAGTTTCTCTCTTTTTTTTTTGTTTTTCTTTGCTGTAAACATACAGAACAATGAAGGCAATTATAAAAATAATTTACAATTAATATTGCTATATTGGTTATACATTGTTGAAGTGTATAATAGTATACCTTATGCATTAAATAATAATTAATGATAAACATAAAAGTGAAGTATATGATTTTTTAGAAATCTTGAATGGTTATTATACCTAATCAGTTTTATCATCATAATAACAATAAATGCTTCAGTTTTAAAAATCATAAAATTAATATTTAATTTATATAATTATAACTTAAATAATCAATGCTTGTAATATCAGAAAGTAAAATCTCATTTAAAATCAATTATTTGAAGAATTATTTTTCGTATTTAAAAAAAAAACCATATTAATAAAATAATGTATTTATTTCTCATTATCTAGGAATAATTAAATCCGTGTAATATAATGATCTATTTAGAAAGTGTTAAGATAAATTAATGATTTACATAACAACCTTGTTCATCAACAACTTAGTGTTAGGAAAAAGCATATTCATTTTTATTATCATATATTATTGTTTCTTCAATATTTATTATATTTTTGATTTTCTAAAAATTATATACTAGGTAATTACTTTGCAATCCTTGTTGGTGCCTGTGCTAGCCATGACATAATACTACTGATGATGTAATTTCTGCTATCTTTTTGTTCAGGAAATTTTTGTCTAACAGCATCTTAAAATAACAACAATTAATTCAGAACTATATTGATAGTATATAAAATACCATAACCAAACAATATGCTGTACAATATATTATTGATATAATAGCATAATGTAATGAAAAAGTAAAAAGATACCTACCAATAATGACTTTACAAATTTTAAACTCTGAAAATGGTTTTTTATTTTTTTGACCTTTCCAGCTGTAATACTTCAGTAGCTCATCAGAAAACATAATTTTTAAGATACTATAAGTGACTTTGGAAATATTTTTTCCTTCAGAGGCAAAAATTAGTGTTGATACCTGTGTAAAGTAAATGTACATAATATATACACAATTATTCCATAATAAAAAAAAAATACAACATACCAATTTGTTTGTGTAGTTTATTTCTCCATTTTGTAATGTTGATTCCATTGCTAATAGTTCATTTTCATTTTTTAATGGAAAACATGATAAATGGTTTTCTTCCGAATTTATATTTGAATTTGGCTGACGATTAGTTACAGGATTATCTTCAATAAAGGATGAAACATCTTGTTTTACATAATTTACATTGGACTTTACCTTATTCATATCAGCTATAAAAAAAACATATTATAGTATTAGTATGGGTTACAATACTACCCTTGTAATTTATATAAATATAATTTATTAAATAGTATTCAAATTAGTTCCTGGAGCAGTTACCTGATAGCTTACACAGTTGATGACCAATAGCTTCTAATAAACTATTTTCATTGAAATCAAAAGTACAGGAATGCACAACTTTTTTGGGTAATTTACACTTATTCATAGTTTTTGACGGTTCATTTGGTATAGGAGTAGAAGAGGGAGTACTGCTGCTAGACTGAACTGTTGACTTATTTGTAAAACATAATGTATCAAACTCATTTCTTTGTGGAGAAATATTGTTACAATAATTGTTGGTCTCATTAAACAATTGTGACTGATCTATTTTAAAAATGAATTATTATTAACTGTATTATAAAATAATATGGTTATTGAAACATATTGTATATAGACTAAAGAAGCTTAGACAGTGTAATAAAAAAAAAACAAAATAAAGTTTTTTAGAAAATTCAATTTACTTTTTTGTTTCTTGGGGAATGTAGGGTATGATGTTGGCTTATCCTTGAGAAGGATATTATCATCCTCATCAGAATTTGAAGAATAGTGTTGTTCTAATGATCTTTTAGCTTTAACCTTCACTCTAAGTCCACGGCCTCTTTCTTCAATTTCTGAATGGAGGTTGGCATTCTTATTTAATTTATACATCAGTTTCAATCCATATTCATAATTGTCTAAAAATATAAATATTACATTTATGTACATTGCATAATTCATTCATACTAAATCGCATAAATTTATAAATTACCTATATTTTCTTCAATTATGTCAATCTTGCATTTTTTCCATTTATCATAATCAGGGATTTCCATTGATCTGGCATATTTTTTAATAGTGGATATTTTGAAATCTAGTGGATACCAACAGTTAAATTTATTAATTATCCAACCATCTGGTATTAAATCTGGACTCTTTTCATCTGCATCATCTTGATTGTCGTATAATGATATTAAACACCACATTCTGACAACAAATTAGCCATTAATATACTTTTTAATAAAATATTAATCTAGTAGTGAAATACAAAGAATAATAACCTATTCTATAGGTAATTATTTATAGACTTCAATATACTAAATATTCAACTTTTGTATTATAGCAAAACCTTCAATACCTACATTATATTTAAACATATAAAACAATAAATTATACACACAATAATTGCTATACACATTATGGAAACAGTTTAGTATAATACCCTAAACATAACATATTCTAGTAAAGTAAGACATTATTTTATGCCACATGAACTAAAGTATAAAATTACTCAATAAAGCAAAATATATTGTTATAATAAACTGGATGTCCATTATATTTATATAAGGAAATAGTAAATCAATGGTTATATACGTTACTTTGGTTAAGTACTTAGTACATTCAACCATATTATTGTGATTAAAAACATATACAATTTTAGACTTTATTAGTTAAGAAAATAATTTTAAAATTTTTATATTTATTTAGGTCCCTACTTATTTTTATTTTATTTTATATTTATTTTACTTTATTTCAATTATTAATAAAAATGTATCAATAGAATTAAAAATTACTTGCGCATACTCAAACATTAATCATTTTATAATTGTTTACTTTTAGGAATTCAGGCTAGTTTCACCAAAAAAAGTTTAAATAATGTACCTTGGCCTGAAAAAATAATTTATTTTACTATATAATATATTTACCTAGTTCTAATATGAAAATAAATATGAACATGTCTTAAGTAAAAGTATTTATATATAATAATTTAAAAACAAAGTAATTATTTATTCGAGTGTAATAAAGGAAATACAACAAATGCATTTTTGTGAGAAAAAAATACATATTTCTTTACAATTTCATGAACTGGCCAAATTTGCATTTCTGATAACTTTTCGACTTCATAGACTCCAATAGACGAACTTTCACATGGAATTGAATAAAAATTTTTTTTTCTTAGAAACATTCTACCAACGATTACACGACTGTTCATGACTTGTGAAAAACAAATATTGTCCACCATTATAATATCACCAGAAGTCGAGCCACAACAATTATCAGGGGAACAAACTTTTATTTTAAAATCACTAAACTGTATATTGGAGTATTGTGGATCAATACATGAAAGAACCAAAGGACCATTGCAATGCATTTTTGAACAAATAGGGTATTTTTGAAAAGTCTGAGAATTGTGTGTTGAATTTACTGTTAACAATTCGGCCATTCTATTTCCTATTTGCTCTAATGGTTTATTTTTTCCTCTTGTCATCCTTTTTATTTGTTGCAGGTAATTCTCATAGGGAAAAGCTGATATAGTATCCAATGTTAGCATAGGAATTATTGGTGCAAAATAGTCAGCGTCATCGACTAGATGAATCAAATTATGAAAATTATGAGTAATGAAGCTTGGGTGATATAAAATCATAAATTACTGCACAAAAAGTCTTAATAATTCTCTTGAATAATCTCTTAATCTACGGTCTTGAATACTGGTACGATTTAACAAAATAGATATAGCTACATTTAATGTCATAAAATTGTTGTATTTTTCTTGGTCTAAAATGCCTTTTAAAGCAACTGGACCAAGATAGAGTAAAAATGACCTATACTCAACAGCTTTCCATCTTAAAAGATACTTTAATTCCCTTGGTTTTCTTGCAAATTCTACTGGTAACCTTGCACTGCTCATAAAATCTGATATCCTCTGAATTAATAACCGTGATAGCTTAAAAGGTAAATCTCCATCATACCATGTTAAAAGCATGGTCCGCATCACTCCTAAGTATACCAAATGCATTATGTCAAGAATGATAGAATGCACAAAATCAATTCCAGGTATTTTTACTAAACATGTATCAACTAATCGATAATTTGGATCTATCCAATTAATAAAATCATCACTTGTTCTAGTAGGACAATTAAGATCAGTAAAAACACGCTTATTATTAAGAGTAGTACCTCGCACGGTACACCTGGTACAAGAGTAGTAGCCGCCATGACCTTTAATGCCCAATATATCTTTTTTCGCAGGTGCGTCACAGACAAAGCCAACAATTTTAACGAACATATTTATGCCATTAGCAGTTAAAAAACCTTTTTCTGACAATTCTATGGTTTCTAATACAAATGGAGTTAAAAAAATATCCATATCATTAGGTTTTTGGAAACCGTAGTAAAGTCCAATAGGAAAAACTATTTTTTGAAGTTCAGGGACATTAACAATTGAAACCAATATAGGAATTGCTTGGCCTGGAGAACTTTTATATAAAGGAAGTCCATCAATGTTTATTAATAAATGCAATTCATGGACATGACAGTCAAATGATGAAATCAAGCGTTTTAATTGACTTTCCAAACCAAAATGAATATAATGTCCTGGTTCAACTGTTTTTTTTTCAAATACTACACTTGTTTTTAGTAAAGTTCTTGAATCTGAAGGTAAAATGTGACTTATACTTCCAACATTTTTTTTTTAAGCCAACCAACAGTTCAGATAGTGCACTAGCAGTAATATTATGCTTAACTGCCCAAACACACAAGAAATTTTTGATTGAGTTTTCGTCATTTTCAGAAGGGTCAACAGATTGTTTATGAAATAAATTATTAGAATCAAAGTCCAATGAAACATCTTCATCAATTATATTATGTTCACTAGATGAGGTACTTGATAATATCTGATCATATTCATCATTGTCAATACTTTGGGTTGTACAATTTAAAAGCGTCTGGTTGAGTGAATTTATAGGTACATTTATAACATCCTGTTTAATTGAAGTATTTAATTGTTTACTATTATCATTATTAGAAGAATTATTGCTATCTGAAGAACTATAATGATCAGACATATAAGAACAATCATTATTTTCAGCCACACGCCTTCTCTTACTTCTGTTTGATAGTTGATGGAATTTAGAAAAAGGTCTGGGCATCCTAAAACAAGATAAAGCCCGACGCAATAATTGAATACTGAAAAAAAATATATTTTCTTGAAATGACTTTTAAATGCAAATTTAATTAATTAATCAAACAGAAAGCTTATTAATTAAATATACTTTGATTTTTTTAAATATTTAGCAAAACAATTGATATCAAATATAAAAATGAACATAGATACTAAAAATTCAATTTTTAACTAATTAGGTGGGTATACTACAAATTGACAATATTAACATAAAATTAACAGTACAATTTTAATAGCTACATTTTCAGCAATATTTTTATTATAATTACCTAGTCGATGGTATCAAAAAAAAAATCATGGTAATTAGTCGTATTAATTTACAATCAATTACTTTAATGTTATCAATACTTAATATATACCAGTAACAGACACTAAATTATTTTTAAATTGAATCTGAATTGCACTTTTATTTAAATAAAGTGGAACCTATATTTAACAAACTTGAAGGTTCTTTAAAAAAAAATAGTCAAATAGAAGTTTGTTAAAGAGAGATAGGTACCAATGTACCTACCTAACCTACTTACCTAACCTAACCATTTATTTTTATTGAACATAATTTATTCATTGTTAAGTTTGTGATGTAAAAAGTAGAAATAAAAAAAACTAGACTAGTAAACTATAAGGAAATACTAAGGTACCTAATACACCGTGACAGAGTAACCGTATAGACATACAAAAACCCAGTGACTAAAATATATCTACTTATACCTAGTGTCTGGTTAGAATTAATATTGAGTATTAATAATAATACTAGAAGTGACGTCTATAGCAATGCTGTAAAATAGCTGCTCTCAAAAACAATGAAATACAAATATAATAGCTAATAATTAATAACAACACAAAATATTGTTTAATGTGTAGGTATGTGGTGTCTGAGTAGAATTTAGATGAAGATTAAAATGGTGTTTGATAAAAAACCTTTTAAATAGGTATTAAAAAAATGTGGAGTTAAAAAAATACACTAAATATTATAAAGGTTTAATTTGAATAACACTTTTAGATTCTGAGCGGAGCGAGGAAGCTAGTGGTTTTACAAGGGTGTTTTTTTTCTTTTCTTTTGTATATCTTGTATACAAAATATCTACCAGAAGGAGTGCTTTGATTTCAACATATAGTACCTTATCTTTTAACAAATAGGATCAAATATGGTACTTTAGAGAAGTCATTTTCTGTTTTCTCAATAGTTATTTTTATTGCCATGGGAAAACACCAACAAATTACGAAAAACCGATAAAAATGGGATTTTAATTTCTAACGCTTTCTTTATCACCATAGAAATGAATAAAAAATAATAATACGTATTATAATATAAATTCAACTTACATAATATAATAAATAATAACAATATCCAGACTGACAAACCGTCTCCGCTCAGAATGGTCCCCCAACTTCACACACGTCATTAAATTCAACTTTAATACAATCCATTATACAATGACCCACTTGTAACTAAATAATATCATATAACTCCCGGGCCCCGGGGTAGAAATTTCCTATCTTAATAATACGACGGGGATAAACCGCCCGCAATTCGTTCAGTAATATTATTATGCATTATTACCTGTAATCGTACTTCGTTGGCACTTCTACGTTGGGACTATGAATTGCGACTTCGAATTATTAGGATAAATTATAAAATTTACAAACCACGTTGGCGATGTACCTACATTGTTCATTTGACAGAAGACTCAAGACAATACAGCCAGTGGTTAAAGTGAGGGGGGGCGGAGGGGGACGGAGTCCCCCTTCTTATTTACGGTAAGATTATGCGTCCCCTTTAATTTAAGTCTCCAAAGTCCGGGGGGACGCTACCAAATTTTAGTAATGTATAAAATAGCTCACTCATCCACACACACACATCGATTATTCACCGAATTTAAACGTATTTTATTTCGCGTCAATAATCTCCATGTTTCTAATGATAGGGGCGCGTGCAATATGTGATTATTAAATAATAAATTATAGTGACTAATATAGTGTATAGTGGTGTCTAATTATAGATACACGGTCGCTCGTGTAGATAGCCTGATAACACGTACTCGGGCTATACGTAGAAACATACGAACGCCAGAACGTGGGAAAACCGTTTAGCGAGACACACAATAGTCAATAATATAACATAAATGATAAATCATAATATTCATAATACTATTGATATTTATTATTTAATGCTCTATTATTGATATGATATTGAGAATGGTTGTGATAGTGTGATTAACGATTTTAATGAGTAATGACCAATAAATAATTTTATTAGTTAATACTTACCATCAGTTGACAGTTGGTAAGTTTTCATTTTTTTGATTTTGTTGTTACCTATAGTGTACTTTTTACAAGTTATTACGATATAATATAGTAGGTAAGTTAATAAGTTTTAATAATTTATATTTTTATTGAAGATCTTTATAATTAAAATAAATATATTCCAAACCACATTTATATTCTAAATTAATTTCATTGGTAAGTTTGTTAATTGTTATTGAGTTACCTAGTTTTTAATTTATACAGAATTGTATCATGGCTGGCCTACTAAAATACAAATTTACCAAGATCAAAAAGACTGATGGTAGTGAGAATGTTGCACAAATTATTCAAAGTCCATGTACAGAAAATACGGTCTCTTCTGTCAAAAAATATGTCGCTGAAATACCAATAATACCAGACTCTAAATCAGAGTTTCCTGAATGCTGGGATTTTAAGCAGGTAGATATAAGTTATTTGATATGAATAGGGTAGAGGACTTATAGTAGTTTTAGCTCTAAAAAGTCACCAATTTATTTATTTATTTTGTATATTTAAGTGTAATACATTTAAGTATACAAAATAAATTAATAAATCTAATTAATTATGAATAAAACTTACTAATTGAATGTATGAACAATGAACTACTTACTTTATACAATATTGTTTAGGTTTTATAAATTTCAAAATTGTTGTTACTTTTACAAGTTATATATAATTATTTTATATTTAGTATTTAGCACCTAACACTAAATTAAAATTAATATATTTTTTAAAATTGTTAAGTAGGTATATAAAATATTTATTTTACAAATTCCTTTTATTATGTACAATTTAATATAGCAAATGATGAGTATTTGATAAAATATGGTATCAAGATATAAACATAATATAAAAATATCTAAACCTCTATCAGGATATTTAACATACCTTTTTTTTGCAATTAAAATTTTAAAATTTTAAGATATTAACTAAGTTTTGATATTAATTATTAGTATAGGTAATGTACCTATAGCCATTGATAAAATATAGGTACTATATATACTATAGCATATGAATACATTTAAATAAATATTATTATCAAACTGTTAGAATGTCTGTTCTATTTTTTTAGATTACTTATTTTACTAAAGAATATCCTTGGATTTATTTTAAAAATAAACATATTGGATGTAAGATCTGTAGAGATGTAAATCAAAATTTATTAAATCAAAAAGGATCACATGTGGCATCTGAATGGTCTAATGGAGAAGTTTATTCATCAGGTTCTACATTAGAAAAGAAAAAAACTAATTTAAGAAAAAAAATTTCTAAACACAAGAATTCTGCTGCTCATTTAAATGCACAAAAAGTTATATTTTTGTCTGAAAAAAAAGTTATTGATGAACATATTTCAATGTTGATGGTGACTGATCAAGAAAATACTGCAAGAATATTTCGCACAGCTTATTTAATAGCTAAAAATCAACGCCCTTATACAGATATGCCAAAACTTACAGATCTCCAAGAATTAAATGGACTTGATATGGGAAGAATACTTCAGACTAACGTATCATGTTCTAATATTATTGATCACTTGGCCTTAGAAATGAGAAGGAAGATTGCTATGGACATTGTGAAAAATAATAGAAAAATTTGTATTTTAGTTGATGAATCCACAACATTAAGTAAAAAATCTATGTTAGTTATATGTTTACGTTGTGCAGTTGGTGAACTTAATGAAGTATACACATTTTTGTTTGATATTGTTGAAGTATCAAATACTTCAGCTAAAACTATAAAAGATTCTATATTACAAGTATTGGAAAAATATGGTATGGACACTCATTTTTTGAAAAAAAATTTAATTTCTTTTGTAAGCGATGGAGCTTCAAACATGTTAGGCCGTAAAGCAGGAGTTGGTGTATTATTACAGAAAAGTTTTCCTCATATTATACTTTGGCATTGTTGTAATCACCGTCTAGAACTTGCTGTTGCGGATTGTTTAAAAGAAGTAAGTGGAATTAATCATTTCCAATCATTTATTGAAAAACTATACTCACTGTATCACATGTCACCAAAAAATATGAATGAGTTGAAAGAATGTGCTAATTCCATTGATCAACAGTTATTAAAAATAGGTAAAATATTTACAATTAGATGGGTAGCTTCAAGTCTTCGGACAATAAAAGCTGTTTGGAATAACTTTGAATCTCTTTTTCAACATTTTTCTAATGCAATAATGGATGATCAAAGGAGCTCTAAAGAAAAAGCAAAGTATGTTGGTTTGAAAAATACTTTAAAATCAATAGAATTTGTTCACAACCTTGGCATACTGTTTGATGCTCTGACAGAATTATCAGATTTGTCCATTCAGCTCCAAAAAAGAGATCTATCTCTTATGGCTGCTCATAAATTAATTGAACGGACCATTAGCGTTTTGGAATCTATGGCTAATAAAAATGGTGAAAAAACCAAAGAAGTAAATTCTGCTTGTGAACAAAAAGAATTTAAAGGCATTATATTAGAACATAAATATTCTGTGGTAAAAATTGAAATCGGCCAATTTTTTAGAAGTTTGTCTGACAATCTAAAACAAAGACTTTTTACTACACAATCGTCTCATGTATCAATTTTAGATAAAGCTGATCCTTATAAAGATTTATTTAATAATTTATTGATTGATTTAACCATGCTTTCTCCAGATAATTGGCCTGATAACTGTGATGTACAGTTTGGTGATATAAATGTAAGCCGTTTGTCTAAAATATTTCAAATTGATCAAAGAGCCAGTGTACGAGGATTTCGTGAATACAAAGTGTCTTATCCTTCAGTAAATACAGACATTGAACCATTAATGACCGCTGTAAAGACTTTGGCTATTTCTTCTGCTGAATGTGAACGGTCCTTTAGTTCAATGAACGAAATTGTTTCTTCAAAAAGAAGTGTGTTGACTAGTGATCATATTTCATCGTTAGCTTTCATTAATTGTACTGGACCACCAATTAATAAATTCAATCCCAACATCTATATTAAAACTTGGATATTATCAGGGAAAAGAACTGCAGATGAACAATGTTGTCCAAAAAGAAAAAAGAAAGATGAAGAAGAATCTTATACATCTTTATGGTTATGTTTAGATAAATAGTTACACATACTGGCTATACTTGTACTTATAACATTTACATAGCTTATGTCACTTATAATACCTACCTATGCGATATGATAATATTATAATTTAAATAAATTATTTATTATTTGTTTTTTTAATTAAATGTTTAAAAATAAAATGTAAACCCATATTTTTTTTTTTAACATTTCAGGCAATGAATTGCAATTTATATTTTACATTACTTAGCAGGCATTATATATTTTAAATCATTTCTTTAGGAGAAAATTTGATTTTATATACTATTAACATAAACTTTTTGTGAAAAAATTACAAGGGTGTGTGAAAGAAACAAATTATACCTAGTGAGTAGTGGGTTTCTTAAAAAAGTTTGGTTAGATATAGACTTTGGAAGAACTCGGGAACGCTCCTCAATTTTTAGTGACTTTAGTCCCCCCTCAACATTTTTTCCACTTTAACCACTGAATACAGCATATAATGACTTTTAAGTTTTAGGTTAAATAGACGCATATTAAACCAACCACGGTTACGGTGAACACATCACTACAATTCAATATAATTATTGTTATTGGTTAGTCTGTTATACCAAGACTGAAACATTAATATTGTGGCGTACTGGCGTTCTATGTATATTTATATTTTAAAAACAATAAGATAACAACTGTCGACCGTCGTGAGCATGATATAACTAACAAGGTATGTCAGCACCTTATCCGCCGCGCAGTTTTGCTGGTGGTCATTGGACAAACGATGAAATATGTTTTTTTTTCTAAGGAATATACAACCAAATTGCATTAACGACGAAAACGGCTGTGACCACCAGCGCAAACTAGGACCAAAACTCGTATTTTTTTGATAAGCTGCTGACATACCTACCTGGTTAGTCATATCATGGTCGTGAGTGTAGTGATATTATACCGCGTAAGGCGTAACGTTTCGTAACGGTACCGTAAATTTAATATTGTGTATCTATATATAATGATATGAGTGCAAGCACGTACACCAAAACAAATAAATTAACTAAAATACAACTATTAATACATTATTTTTTTTTGAGGGATGGTGAACCCCCAAAATCCACTCTGTATTATATATTAATCAAAAATTTGTTTCATATACTTACACGCGCGCTATAATATATTATAGTACATCTGCAATATATATATAGATATATGATGATCAGAATCTAATGTTATATTATTTAAATGTGATAAAAATGATAGAAAATAAATATTTTTACTTAATATTATTTTATTATTTTAAAATGTATAGAAATACATATTAAATAATAAACATTATTTTGATATGTAATTAATCTTTTATTAAAAATCTTTTAAATTTAGCATTTTTTTAATATAAAAAAATATATTTTTTAAAAACATTATTTTTGAAATGTTTTAATATATATTAAACGTATAAAAAACATTTCATTGTTACTTGGGAAACTTAGAAATCCATTCATGAAGTGATACTATATACTTAAAATAAGGAATATATTTTTCAAAAAACCTAAAAACGGTGAATGATTCCTACATTACATGGTTAAATTAGTAACAACGCGAACGCTGGTGGCTGTTATATCCAGAGGCGGATCGGGGTGAGATTTCGGCCCGGGGGATTCAAAGAATAACTGCCCACTTACTAATTTACCAAATATTTAATTTTAGCCAACATAATATAATTATGTATTACTATTTTAACATAACTACAATTTTTTTAACACATTTGGCGAGATATTTAATTTATATGAAACTTTATTCGTAGTATATACACATCTAAATCAAATTTATTTTTTTTTTTGAACAGTTTATGTTTACACATTTATAATAGTACTTATAATTACTTATAGGTACCTACCTATATAACACAGTAAAAGTGAATAATTTAAACTACTAATTTTACGATTTTTGTGTTTAATAAGAAAGGTTATTACCTATTCAATAATATTTAATAATGCGCTTTTATAATTAAATAAGAGCTTATAATTTACTTCCACTTAATATACCTGATAGGTAAATGAACAGAATCAACACGCAAAATCTATGTGTATCTTTTTATTTTCTAAAAAAATATATTATAAAAATAATATATAATAATAATAATTTAATATATATTAAAATATATATTACATTTGCTGTTTTTGCTTTTCGAAAAATACTATATTTTTGGTTTCTGTCACTCATCGTTGTGTCTGTACTGAATTGCGGTAAAAAAGTCCTAGGAAAAAAAGTCCGGGTAAAAAAGTCCGCCGTCAATAAATCCTAAGCTAAAAAAGTCCGGTGAATATTATACAAAAAATAGTAATAGTATACATAAGAATATTTATATTCAATGATTATAATTATGTACTTAGTATAATAACATAAAATATACATAATATATCAATTAAATATTAATTAATTAAATTGAGTACCTATTAACTATCGTCATAATATAAAATATTATACAAAAAAAATTTCAATGATTATAATATTATTTTAATTTTAATATACATAGTTATTTGAAAAAGTGGCCTAACGGGAAAACTCCCGCGAATTCCCGGTGGTCCAATCCGTCCCTGGTTATATCCCTCGAATATTTTTGGGCCTTGTTTCGAGTAGGCATCGAGTACCTATGAGTTTCGTACAGGCCCGTAACCACGGGGGGAAGGGGGGGGGCATTGCCCCCCCCCCCTAAACCCAGTCATTGCCCCCCCCTAAAAAATATTAGAAAGACTTTTAGGTAGGTATGTATTTTATTGCTAATAACACTTTCATCGGTAATAGAATAGATCAAAAAAGTTTTTTTAGCCGTATTAAGGAAACTGGTTTAACCTTAGTAATTCCAATTATTCATAGCGTGATTAATAGTTTAAAACAATCAAGAAATGAAGAAGTGTTCAATGCAATTTTAAAAGACTGTGAAAATTTATTACCTGAAACCGAAACTGAATCTCCAAAACGCAAGAGAAAGACTACTATAAAATTGAATGAATATATTTTAAGTGAATCATCTGGTACTTATACAAATTATGTCAACGACGATATTAATATTTCATTATTATCTACATTTTATGAAGTTATTGATATAATTAAATCTGAGATGGAAACTCGTTTTGAAAAAAATGATGAACTTATTAAAGCTGTTTCTAACATATACGAATTGAATTACGATGATTTTAAAATATTTAATGATCTTAAAATTAATATTCCTTCAAAAGAAGAAATAATTTGTGTAAAAAATTATTTAAAAGAAAATAATATATCTAATAAGAACATTTTTTTAGAGCTTTATCAACAACGTAAAGCTACATATGAAATGATAGCAGCAGTTGAAGTATTTGGATGTAGCTCAGCAGTTTGTGAATTGCAGTGAATTGCAGTTTCCTGCTTAAACAGAGTTGACAATCCTCAAAGGCAATCAATGTCACATAACCGGCTTTCCAACTTAACTTTATTGGCATTTGAGTCCAAACGGACAGAAAACTTAAACATGGACCTATTATTAACGAACTTCAACAAGCAGAATAATAGAAAATTGAAGCTGTATTAATTAATATTAAAATGTTCAAAATTTAACCACGTAACATCAGTGAATATGATGAATATTATAATTATCTATGTAAACTTTAATATAAGTTTTATTTTTATTATTTAGTATTATTCGTTTTGTAACTTTAAAACAAATGTTTCATTGTAAATTCCCAAAATATTCTATTATAAATGGATTATTATTATTATTATTACTATTAGATAGAAAATTATAGTTGTGTTAATTTAATGGGATATCAATGTAAATAAATTAAAAATCGCATTAATATTTAATACATTTATATATAATGCCCCCCCAAAAATTTGCTTTGCCCCTCCTGAAAATTTGGTCTGGCTACAGGCCTGGTTTCGTATTATGGTTGGTACCATAAATGCGCTGGTAAAGCTAAAGTAATTTTACTCTTATTGTGGACTGTAGATTATAATAATAAACAACAATTGAGTCACGATTTAACTTGATTTTTCAAGATATTACGTTTACAATATTATTCGAGGTCTTACGCAGTGTAGGTACACAATAATAACGAAGACCTCGAGACTACGACGACGACTAAAAAGTAAAAACTATTACTACAAATCATGACATTTTCACTGGTTGTTTATATTAGCATATTTTGCTATACACGATAACATTTTCAAAATATTTTAACTTGGTTTTGTAGGTCCACTTTTTTAGGTATTTTCTCTATAGATGACAATGAAATTAGTTTCGTTGGGTCAAAACGCTTTAAAATGAAATACAAGATTCCTCATAAGTTTGTCTACCTTAATCAAAAAAAGAAATGTCTACAAGCAAATCAAATAAAATTTTTTGAGCGTTTGAAGTTCAATTTTTGTGCAAGATTGAATATTCACTAGATTTCTCATGTAGCGATTTTGTTATTTTGATGTAATTTAAAATCGAATAACTTAATGAATTATTGTCATTCAGGATTTTACATAATTTATTATTATAATATAAGAGAACAGGCCTTTTTTATGTTCAAATTTTTTTTTCACAGAGTTGTTCCAAATACCTTCCCGAGTGTCACCACGTCACCCGATTTTCTTATTTTATCGGTTTGGTAGGTACAGAAAATGGTTGAAAAATACTGAGTTCATTTTTAATTCAAATATTTTGTAGTTTTGTACATTGCCAGTATTTACAGCCTTTCCAGTTTGTTTTGCACATATTATTGATTAATTGAAGACTCAAACATTTCATATCGTCATATATTAGGTATGGTATATTTATTTTAAAAAAGAGTAATTTGGTGGTGTGGTAGGCTTTGCCCCCCGCGGCTCTATTTTCTGAAATTAACTGGACCCTCCCCATGACAAATTCCTAAATACGCCACTGGGGAGATTTAAATTAGCTTTAAAAATATTAAAATATGTAAACAATTATGAAGGCGTACACTGTACAATGACTACGGAGGGGCGGCATTGCATATTATATTATAATTGTCGTGAATCCACTTTCAATGGCGCGTATAATACGCGGATTTT